CCAAGTCCTAGCATCGTGGACACAGGCCTTAATAACACATGTAGATTCTGGGAATGTTTGGAGGATTTTACCAAGATATAGGGATATTAGTATATTCTGGACGTACGGAATATCAAGTGCTGTTAGGATTGCGACATTAATGGCGCGTCAAACAATCAACCGTTCGCCGCGTAACCGCAAATCAGGACTCTGGTATCGTCGTGTCGGCGGAGTCGCATGCATATTCCCGGGGAAATTAACGGCGCGACATTACACATTCGTCATCCGCGCCTGACACTATCACCCACGGAGGGAGGCAAAGAAAATACGGCGGTCTCGACGACCGCGTGCGGAACGGCCAGGATTCCCCTGCGTGTTATTTCAACATCCGCGCCGTCGTAAAAATCGCGAGTCTGTCGCTCCGTCGCGTCGCGCCGCCCTCTCGGGAGAATCCTGCCCGGAGGAGAGGACCGCCGCGCCGTGAGGAATCCTGATGTACTGAGAGGCTACGCTGGAACGTCTCTTTCGAGAGGCCTTTCGGAATATCTCGCCGAGGCAAATACAGGGAACAGTCCCCTATTATGAGATAAGCTCCTAATATAAGGTAGCAGATTTTCAACACCCAAAATCAATAACAAATCCTTTTTCGCAACGATTACTCAATAAAGGCCTGTGTCCACGATGCTAGAACTTGGACCAAATTCTAGAATCATGGACACAGGCCTTAACAACGAATTTTCCACTAAACAGATTTCCCTCCAAGGGCAATAAATTCATAGTGGAACAGACGATGCCTTTAATTTAGCAGAACCTCCGTTATCTCATATTAGGAGTCTACCGCAAAATAGGGGACTTCCCTCTGTTTAGATTGGCGATGTACGACGGGACTGTTTCATCGGACGATTTAAAAGCGATAATCTTGTACATACGTATATGTATACATATATATATATACCAAGTGAGACCACGGAGTTCAACAGCCGCGTTAGCATGCGAAGGATGGTTACGCGCTTCGGAGACGAGGGGAGTCGGAATCATCAGTTACGCGAGATTTGCAATTTTGCCAAATAAAGATCATTTATAGTAGCGCCGTTCTCCTTCGCAATCCACCGTGCCGATGAACGATTTTTAATTGCTAGAAAAACAGATATGACAGAGATCGAAGTGTGTACGGCTCGAGGCGCGAAAGATAATTCGCGGGCTGAGTCATATTACGATTGCGGTTTTATCGACGCGACAGTGCCGATACGCGATCTCGGACCCTGGAAATAATAAAGAGATTGCTGTTCCGCCGATTACATCGCGCGATTAAATTCCGCGGTCGTCGCCGTCAAAATTTGAAAAGTTCCCGATTACGGAGAATGCCCTCTTTACGCTTTTCCTCCCCGCCGAGAAACGAAACGTTGTCCACCCGGGAATCGGGAACGAGAGATCGCCGTGGTACTCCAATCGGCGCCGACGCGGCAGGGCAGACATCTCGCTCGACGCTTCACCATTCTAACCACTCGTCTTTATCAGTAGCACAAACACGTGATAAACCTCTTAATCAAGCCGTCATATTTACAGACACCCAATTCTATCTCGAACCGAAAGCGAGATAATACGCGCAGCGCATTATCTTCACACCTCCGCGATGGATGTTCGCGCGGAACTGCTCTCGATTGGTATAAAAAAAAAAAAAGAATACTCGGTCCGTACCGTTTGTAACTCAGGATCGGTTTCTCCCGCGGCGCGACGCGAATTTTCACCGCGAGATCCGCCGCCGGTCCCCACGTCCGAGGCGAAGAGACGTGCACGGGAAGAGAAAGCGCGAATATAAAACGAGGGAAGAGCAAGGTAAACGAAAGAAGAAACGCACCAGTGCAGCTTCACCGCATCCCCGGATGCGCTCGGCGCGGTGCCCGGACGATAACGCAGGACCACGTGCTTGCGGACGTTGTTGGGCGCGCGGCTGACGTTCCTGGCGAACCCGTCGATCGTCATCACGGCCGTCATCACGGCCCGTCGTCGCTGAAGGCGGCGCCAGGTAGCGAGGACCCTGCGCTTCTCTTCACGGCGGGGCCCCGGACGGCCTCACTTTCGTGGCCCTCTCTCTTTCTCTCTCCCCCCTCTCTCCCTCTCTCTCTCTCTCTCTCTCTCTCTC